TGAACCCTCCGAAATGATGTCTCCTTTTCGCTGCTCTGCAGGGAGCTGCAGGTGGATAAGGACTCCGGCCATTATCTACTCCACACACGTAGCTACCACTTTGGTGGCCATCCTCGCGCACATCCTGTTCCACGACTTCTCAGGACCTGAGCACCTGGGACCTCAAACGCAGCGCGAGCGCCTCATGCTGCTCTCCGTGTACGTGCCCTACTTGCTGATACCGCTGCTGATCCTCTTCACCATGCTCTACAACCCCCACTACAACCACGTGGAGAAAAGGAAACGGAAGTAGTCCGCTCTACAGGTTGTACGTACAACACTGACGCAGGCCCTACACCGACGTGGTCCTCTGGGACAAATGCTGTGCCATGGTGGTGGCTGCAGCATTCCCAGAGCACCAGCTCCCGCAAGGAAGAAGGGACTTTGTGTGAGCCGAGCCCCGTGGCTGCAGCACGCGCAGGGAAAGGCGCTTCCCGCCTCTCCCCGTCCCATCGTGCTGTACTCTGCAATGGGAAACTGGACTTTAACCATGTGACGTGTAACCGCGTGGTGGGGGGATGCTGCAGCTGATCCCTCTCTTCCAAGTTCCCTTTTCCCAAGAGGACTGCCAGGAAACCACTTCAGTAAGAAATGTGTCTTCCCAGAGCTGGTTACACACGAATCCCCAGAGCGACGCTTCCAACACATTCCACATCCTACAATAGCTCTGAACTTCCTCGCCCTGTCCTTTAAAATCCCACCTTCCTTTGCTCTGCTTCAACTTTGATTAATTGTCGATTAATTTGCTCAGTGATAATGTGCCCAAACTTGGATTTACTGATGCCTGAAGTTACCTTTGTTGGACACTGAGGCATAATTCCTGGGGGATTCTCATGTCAGGGATCATAAACAAGGCTTTGCAAATTTCTCTCCATGAAATCACTTCTCATGTGGAAATAAATAACTAAACACATTAAACTGCATTTAATTTTCTTCAGGGAATGACTAAAAGGAACTTGATGATCATGAGACAGTGTGGAGAGTTCACACGGTAAATGTATGCATAAGGTACCATGAATAGAACCTACTACTGATAGAAATCCAGGGGTGGTGGGTTTGGTGGTGGGGTTTTTAAGGTCTCAATTTGATCTGCAAGAATCAAACTTGAGGACTGATGGGGAGCTTCATCAGTTTGGGCTCCATCGCTCGTAACACCCACGGAAATCAACTCTAATGTTACTACCTGCATGGATGTACCTTGGGCATAGCTTAAAGTCCTTAATTCAGCTGATTTCCTGCTGTTTGTGTGTCTGCAAATGATCCAGTCCAGTAACTGTAAATTTCTTGGGTTTTCATAACTCTATGGAAAAAATAATCTGGCCAATACAGGTAGAAGTTACTGCTGCTTGTGTGTTGTGTCTTCACAGATGAGACAAATACATGTGGCAACCACTGTGAGACTGTCCAGAGAGCTGTAAACCCTGAAGCTCAAGACTAACCTTCTGCAGAAGCACCTAATTCTGGGGATCCAGAAAGTCTGAAAACAATAATTTATTTCCCCAATCTCTCTAAAAGAACTGTACAATTCAAAAAGGGAGAGATGTGACATAGTAACAGCAGTAGCAATTCAACTGTAATTTGGATTAGAAGTAGACTGTACAAAACTTTTATAAAATCAAAGGACACAACAGTCATTACCCCGTAAGAAAGCCCTCCTTATTGCCACTCGTAGTGTAAGTCACTCTGAGTTAAAACACTTCCATTGGTACAAACGGGCTCTTCAGTCATACACAGTGAAAAATTGCATATTTTGAAGTTGTCAAGATTCTGGAATGGTCAAGTTTGGTTTTATCTTAAAAATCCTCTATTTCTGGAAAATGAATTGGTCAATGAATTCGTTCTGGTCGGCTTCGATTTTACACAGAGTCTCGTACTCTATCTGGTACCTGAAAGAAAAAGCAGGCGCTCAGCAGCCCCTGTGCCGGGTCAGGACAGTGCTCCTGGGCTGCGGCGTCCTCCGCAGAGCAGCGGCTGCGTGAGCTGGGCCCGCGGTTCGGCAGTGCCTCCGTGCGCTGCCGTGCCAGAGCTCACTGGTTTCCCCGTCTGCCCGCTCTCCTGCTGCCCCTTTGCTTAGCCACAGTGGCCAGAGATGGGCAGCGGCCCTAAGTGAACCCTGGGCTGGTGGCTCCACGTTGTCCGCGCGTGCTCAGCGCAGGAGGGGACGCCTCCGCTGCGCAGATGGGCTGCGTGGACGAGCCGAGGCAGTGCCCAGCAGCCGTGCACAGAGGAGAGGTTAACTTCCCAAACTATGCAGCGCCCCAGAGCACCGAACAGGTTACTCACCTCGCCAGCTGCATCTTCTTCTCCGCTATTAAAGCCTGAAGTTGCTGCTCCTGAGCTTCCCTCTGCTTCGCTATAGACTTCAGCAGATTCCGCGCACCGATGGCCTGCCAGGAGAGGACAGTCAGTGCTGTGGCTGTAGTGGGATCTGTTACCGTGTTTAACCCCTCTCACTGCTGGCAGGTTGGGTGTGAAGTGTTTCAGCCGCACTGACGGTAAAGGAGGATGACACCACAATAGTGATGTACGGAGAGAAGCAGGGACTGTTAAATACAGGAGTAACATGGCACTCCGGGTGCTCCTGTACGAGTCCTCCAGACACCATCAGCATCACAGAAAGGCCTGTTGGACACTGACAGCAG